TTCGGCCGCTGCGCAGGGAGAACGCGTGTGCGCCCCCCGCCCCCCCCTTGGAACCTGTGGCTTCATCCCCTCCCTCCTGCAGGTTGAGCCGCGCGTGCATCGCTGTTCTGGCACCTCTGGGGCGTCTGCTCTTCTCTGCAGTGTCATTACTAGAGTTTTCTTTCTTAAGTTCCAGGGAACCTCTAAGAAAGGGGTGAGTCGACTGGACAAACAGATGCGGAAATTCACAGATATCAGGAAAAAAAGCAGATCGGCCCACGCAGTGAAAATCAGCATTGAGGGCAATAAGATGCCCTTGTGACCCGTCACCCAACGCCCCGTGATCTCTGCTGTAAGACAATGCACCCACAGACTCTTTGAGACCTCTGAATTTTTTAACAACTCGTTTGTTTGGGGTTTTGTTTTTTTTTTAGTGAATCATTGAATTGTTGGTTCAGGTTCTGGTATAAGATGTTGTCTGAGGACTGTGAAGATGGGGACTTCCTTCTCCTGACTGTATTTAAACCTGCTCTGTCGTGTCCTTTGTACAGATCACTTATTTGTTGTACCGAACACTTTAGACAATAAAACATCTTCTGTTTTTTTGGGGGCTGTCAGTTGATTGCGCAGGAGACTGGATGTGCGCCCCACCTGCTGCGTGGGAACGCTGCTCCTGCTTCACGTTCTGTCCATCACCGTCCCTTCCTCTTCAGGCGGTGCTTTATGATCCGGATGGCCTGTCTGTGGGGATCTGCCTGCCCTGGTTTTGACTAGAAAACTGACCATCATCATGTTACATCGCATCCTAGGTTTTTTTTTTTTTTTCCCCATGAAAGCGTGATGTAAAGTTGGAGACCAGCGAAACTGCCTGATGTAAGACGGAGCAGCATTCGCTCACTCCTGCTGAGCCTCCACGCGAAGGGCAAGGTCTGCAGCGGCGGCTGCAGCTGAGGGGCCTTTCTGTGACGCGTCACAGAACAGGTTACTCTTGGAGTTCGTGAGGCTGCTCGGAGCAGAGTGAACCTCAGGTCGCTGGACGCTGCTTTTCGGGGTGCTTTGCGCAGCACTCGGATGGGCAGCGCGGAGCCGTTGCTGCTGGGCTTGATACTGCGAGCGCGTTCTGTGGTGCTGAAAGCCAGGCCGGTGGTCTGCCTTGGGTAGCGCAGCCGTGCGTTCCGCTGCAGCCCGCGAGCGGCTTTCCCACAGGTTTCTTCCAGCGGTGTGACAGAGGAGGTTCCGATCTCTGTGTCGGGGGGGTAATGCTGCTCCATCCTTGTCACGGGGTACAGAAGGACAGCAGAGGGACACTTCATACCCGCTTTTTTACCTCTTCCCCTGAAAATGCTGGTGTTGTCTAAGCTTGCCTCCAGGAAGAGGACTGTTGCCTTGACAGCTGGGATTTCGTCATTCCAGAGGCACAGCCCATGTGCTGTGAGGTGCGGTCCGTAGCTCGGTGAGTTTTTCCAGGCAGGGATCGCGGCGTTGGTGACGGAGCCCAGCGGCCGGAGACTGCTTCACCTGCGCTAGCCAGGCATGCTTGTGGCCCCCTAACCGACCTCAGGGGAGTGTGTTCGTGTGCTGCCTTTCACGGGTTTGGGCGTTCTTCCCCATTTTTAATTCAGAATTTACCGAAAGACGGAATTCCTTACTGCCGTTGTTACCTGCAGTCGGGCAGACTCGCATGAACAACCCAGCCATTTATGGTAAACACTCAATTTCTTAGAAGGTAATTTTGGTTCTGCCCCATTACGGACAGGCACCATGTCGCGTCTTGGCCTGGAACACTAGTAGTCCAGTTGGCTCTGTGTCTGAAGAGGCTCTTAGGAGAAGTTAACGGTAAAGTTCTCTGAATCTGCTACACTTTCAACAATTTCTTTAATCCACGGGATGTAGTTGGATACTCTGGTGTACACACCGTATTTTCCTTGTTCAGCACAGCCCTCGCCCCAGCTTACAATCCCCAGGAGAAACCACGTGTTGTGGTAAGACACGGCGAAGGGGCCACCGCTGTCCCCTTTGCAGGCGTCTGCAGCCTCCGAGCCGTGGCCGGCGCAGAACATGTTGTCGGTGACGAGCCTGCCCGTCGAGCGCTGGCACGTCTCCGTGCTCACGATGGGCAGCCGCACCTTCATGAGGAAGCGCAGGGTCGAGTGGCGCCCCAGCCGCTGACCGTCCCCACGCGCCCCTCCTCGGAGAGCAGGGCGGCGAGGTTGGGGCTCGGGAGGCAGATGGGAAGGACGTACTCGTTAAAAACAGCGGCGCTGCTCAAGTACAACAGGGCGATGTCGCTGTTGTAGTTGTCGGAATCGTAATGTGGATGAGTCCAGCTCCGTGCCACGTCAATCTTCTGTTCCTTCACCTCTCTCTGGTATTTGTCAAAGTCTCCTGTGGCCGGGACAAGTCAACACGTCAGCGAACGGTAACGCGTCGTGGGGGAGGGATGGAGGAACCCCTTGGCCTCTTGTCCCAGGAAGGCACAGCCCAGGGTGCCTGGAGCCCCGGCACAGGAGTGTCTCAGCTGGAGGTGCGATGCTGCAAAGCCAGCTTCCCCCTGCCCGCCCTCCGAGGGCAAAACCAAGTTGGGACCTGGATGAGCGCCCACGGAGATGACGGCTTCCAGGGTCAGGACTTGTACCTCCTCCTAAGTGCTGTCTGCCCGCGCTCCCCTGAGCCTGTTTTCCCTCCTCAGGAACATGACAAGCCTGGATAAGGCTGAAGAAGCGTTCCCTGTCAGTTCCCCAGCGCTGGGC